CTCCTTGCTCTGCCGCACTCTGCCAGGCAATCCTGGTTTAGGGCTTTGGCATCTTCAGATGTGGTTCTAAAGCAGGCAGAGGGCTGGGACTCACTGGGAATCATCCATGTTTTGCCTATTTTTCTCCTTCCAGGAACCATTCCTGGAAAAGCTGGCCACGGGTGTTGTCATAGATGGAAGCCCAGGAGGGCAGCTGTGCCATAAGGAGAGGGCAAAGAGACTCGCTCGCCAGCATCAGGCATGCCTCCCAGGGTATGGAGCCTGGGCTGCTGCTGGGGGGAGCTGTGGCCTCAAGAGGAGGGAAAAGTCTTCCTTTGGGGTGGGGCTGGGCTGGGAGGGAGACTCAAAAGACAAATTAAAAGGCAACTGATGGAGATACCTAATTAGACAGGAGGCTCTGGAGAGTCCTTAGTAATTTATTCAACCAGCATATATGCTTAACATGGTTACAAAGGAAGTAGGAACACTTAGGATTTCTGCCTTTGTGGGGCTTATGGTTCAGAGGAGCAGATGGCAGGCGACACCTCCTGGGTTTGAAATGTCAGGAGCCGGGCTTAACTGAGGGAGAGGATGCCGGAAGAGGTTAATCTGCCTAGTACTCCTGGTGAGCTGGGAATTGTGCAGGCATTACCTACAAAGCTAAGCACAAAGATGAACACACTGGATAGCACAGAAGGAGATCAGTAGGACTTTCTCCAGAGCACTGGCAGTGTGTCCTAGGCCAAGAGTAAAGTGGGAGTTTTGCTGAGCTGGGCAGAGTGGGCAGTGAGTGTGTGGGTGGGTGTCAGACGAGCTTGAGACCCACGAGAGGGTGGAGGAGGACCTGTGCTCACCTCTGGGCTGTATTCTGTAGGAGGGGAAGTTCCTTTGCACCATCCAGGGGCTGACACAGTGCCACAGCCAGAGGCACACTTTCTCACAAAAGCAGTCCTGACCGCAGCGGGGGCATGGGGTTGTCTGGTGGAGGCTGGGTGTGAGAGCTGCCCTGAGGTCAGCCCAGAAGACGCTAATGGCTGCGGGTCCGGGTGACAGGGTGAGCAGGGCGAGTTCAGGGTCAGCTGTGTGGAGCAGCGGACTGCGGGGTGGCCGAGGAAAGAGACAGAGGAGGCCTTCCGCGGAATGCTTCCTGTACCCACAAGCATCCTTGCAGCTCAGCGCCTCTTGTCCTGAGAAGTGCCGCAGTCCCTCCCTCCGACATTAATGGCTTTCGGTCTCACACCAACACCAGAGTGAGAAAATGAAAACCACATGTTAAATTAGGAAGAGGATAAGCTACCCTTCAGCATAAAAAGAAAATCCTCCTTATCTGTCCTAGGAAATTGGGATGAATCCATGCAGGTGGGGCCAGTGTTATAAAGCAAGAAAACGATTAGGATGAGATGTGCACCACACATGTGCCATGGCCAGAGCACCGCGGGGGCAGGGATGGAGCCGCTGCGAGAAGAGCAGCCCGTGGGAAGCCAGGCGTCCACGCGGATGCCCCGCCCACTGAGCCATTCAAGAAGCCTCTTGGTCATGCCCTGTATTTTATTATTGTTATTATTTTATTCATTTATTTTCTCATCTATGTATTTTGGTACAGCTTCTCACTGTTCAGCTGAGGCTCATAGTAATATTCCTGTTTTCAGCCTCCCTAACACTGGGATTACAGGCCTGCACCACCACGCCCGGACTCATTGAGCAGTTTAGTGTGCCCCGGGGTCAGGGCCGGCATGGCATGCGGGACCGGGGATCGAACCCTGGCCCCTAAGCTGGCCGTCATGCCTTTTATACTGCACACATACTTTCCCCAACAACATCTAACATCTTCCACCCAAGTACTAAGCAGGCCTGACCCTGCATAGCTTCCGAGATCAGATGAGATGGGGCGCGTTCAGGGCCGTGTGGCCGTCAGCCAACATCTAACACGAATGTGGTGCTTGCCGCATTGCCGAGTGTGGTTCCAAGCACGTTACCTTTCTTAGCTTGCGGAGTTCTTTCTCTTACCGGTGACATACAACCTGTCTGTCCACAGTTTATGGCTGAGGAGACAGAGCCACAGAGCAGATACGCTCTCGGGGGTGACTGTCTCAATATTTGAACACACGAAGTCTGGCTCTAAGGTCGACTCTCTTAACCAACTTCCTCTACTGATTGCCTCTGCACATTAAATTCCTCAGTGAAACTATCTTTGCAGAGCTCATGAACTGTAAGTCATTTATTTCTAGGTGGAGATAATGATATTCATAAATATTCTATAAATGGAAATCAGTTGGCACAATTCAAGGAGAATGGAATGGCCCGAAGTGGAAAACCTAATTAGCTGTTAGTTAATTTTTTATTTGTCCCCCTTATAAGTTTTCAGACTTTTGGAGATAAGGAGTCTTTGGAACAGCTGGTAGGGGTCTGTGCAGAAAGCAGTATCAGTTCTTCCCAGTACCTCCTACCCCAGTCCAAAAGGCTGAACCACAGCTCCTAAACATACCCAGAGTCTGCAAGCCACGCCTCCTGCCACCCTTGGATGTCACTGTCGGATCCCTGCCAACCCTTGACAGTGTTTCTAGCCCTTTCCACCCTGGCTGAACTGCTAGGAGCTCTGGCAGTGGAACGTGGTGGAAGAGCTACTCAGCCAAATGGAGACTTCACAGAAAGTAAAATACATTTGATGTGTGCAATGCCGCTGTGATTTGGGGAGGTTGCTTATTGTAGGAGTTAGTCTGCCCTTTAAATTACACAGTGATTTCTTTAAATAAAAAATAAAATTGGAGTTTGCTTCAGACACGGCCGTGGCCATCATGTGGTTGACAGGAGGCAGGCATTTCCGCTGGAGAACTGCCTTTGTGTTGGTTGGCTCAGCTGTCACCACCGTGCCCTCTGCTGACCGTTAGGATGTGCAGAAGCCCCTGTTCTGAGCAGGAGCCGAACGGAAGCCCAGCCTGCTTCTCCACAGACTGAGGCCCACCGTGGAAGCAGCCTGGGTGGCAGTCCTTCAGGGGCTCGGTCTGCTCCCGTTCTTCAGGCTGGCCTGGTGAGGGGAATTTTTGTTTAAATCTGCTGTCCATTCTTCTCCCCAGGTGTTTTTGCCTTTCAAATGTGCTTGGTCTTTGAATTCTGACTGATCCTCATTTTGTCAAAAGAACAATCATCTACGTGCAGCTAGGCTGGTCGCTCTACTTTGCAGGCTGGTGGAAGAGAGTATCATTATTAGACAGTTTTTCTTCTCTCCAAGAGGAAAGAGCAGTGATTTGTTCCTGTATTCAGTTCTCAAAAGAAGGTGAACAATATGCTTTTCTGGTGGCTTTTGTGTCCGAGCACTCTGCTCAGTGGAGGAGGAAGCCACCGTGGCCCAGGATGGGGTGTTTATTGATTGAGATCATAGCCGAGGAGGCCTCTCCTGACACAGCCCTGCAGCTGGTGCCCTTCAGGGCTCCTCAGCATGGCAGCCATTATGTGCCTTTCATAGAAGGTTCTGGAACCAAAAAGGTGGAGTTGGCGGGACAATCTCCGTATTCTTTACACACTCCTGCTGAGCTCGTCTTCTGTTTTTCCCTTTCAGCAATTATTTGTTACACTTCAGCAGTACACAGTCTTTACAGAATAGACCACATGATCTTTCTGTGGCACTGTCACAGAATCTGGTGACGCCAATAGAGCAGACATTGTTATCCCCATCTACAGAAGAGGAGAGTGAGGAAAGACCGTGGACTTCAGGTGATACAGCCTCCAAATAGCGCGACAACTAGAATCTCTCACAAGTTCTTCTGATCTCATGGGGTCCCTTTTCAGGGAAAGGAGAGTCATGCTTTGGCTATGCATCTGAGCTTCCTTTAAATGGAATCCTCAAGTTCAGCAAAGAGAAAATTCCCACTGGAATCGTTATATTTCCATTCAAAAGCTACAACTAGGTATGCACAAGGTGCCTCAGAATAATCTACATCTATTGTAATAAGGTGAAGCAGGACAAGGGAAATTCCATTTTTTTCTAATAGAATATATGTAGAATATTTATAGATTAATAATAATAATAACTCCAGGACTTGCTTTAAAATAGGGAGGGAAGTGGGGGACCTAGAGGAAAGAAGTCTGGACACTTACTGATCATTGTTGAAGGTGTTGTAGGTATTCTGGGTTATTATGTTACTTTTGGCACATTTCAAACTATTTTTTAAAACAAAATGTTAAACATAAAGATAGATTGGTAGGGGCTGGAGACATAGCTCAGTGACATAAGTGCCTGCCTGGCAAGTGCAAGGTCCCAAGTCTGAGCCTTGGTATTAAAAAAAAAAAAAAAGTAGATTGGTAAGTGCAGAAGCACCAGTCCCTGGAACTCTGAGGCCCAAGTAGCACACCAGACCAGTAGGTAAGCAAATTAAAGAGTCCACCAGACAGGGGGTCCTTGTCACCACTAGCGTCAGAGGCGATTGCCGTTTCCTTTTATTACCTGGCAATGAATGCCCCTGTACTGAACTGAGCGAAGAACTCCGAGTCCTTCTTGCCTCTACAAGCTTCCATATTGCAAACTGCTCTTCATTTCTGTTCTGAAGTTCCACTAAGACGTATTGATTGATGGCTGGTCATGTTACTATTTGTTTGAAGGGTGCATAAATAGGAAAGGTGGCAGGCCGGCATGCCACTCTGGGATCGTTTATGCCCCAAACAAGTCCCAAGTGCCCGGTGGGGCGGAAACAATGGGAAGGACAGGAAAGGTCTGAGGGGACGTGGCAGGGAGGGAGAGCGGTCAGCTCGCAGACTGCACGGGGCACCCGGAAGGAGGGCCGGCAGGCCGGGCGCCGCGAGCTCAGACCCGGCGCAGGTGGAGTCGCTGTGGGAAGGGTGCTTTCTGCACGAGCCTGGCTGCCGGCGACCTTGAGCAGATGCTCTCAGCTCCCAGGGCAGTTCTGGGATGAACCATTTTCACACGTTGCTTACCCCGCTGGCAAAACATGGGCTGCAAATCTCTGCACAGATGTTCTGATGCGGCTCCGTGTGAGCCTGATAGGCGCCAGGGTGAGAAGCTGTACCCCGAAAAAGCTACATTCTGAGCTCGTTCGAGTTCTTATCTCTTTGGTTCTGGAATTTAAAATGATGATTATTTATGAAACAGTTCAGCCAGCAACGTCCGCGCCTTCTGTTCTGGGAAGCTGCGGATTTACAGAGAGCTCTGACGTTAGCTCAGCAGCTTAGCGCGTAAGATTTAAATCAAAAACCATTCAAGTCTTTTCTTCTTCTTCTTCTTCTTCTTCTTCTTCTTCTTCTTCTTCTTCTTCTTCTTCTTCTTCTTCTTCTTCTTCTTCTTCTTCTTCTTCTTCTTCTTCT